TGATGCTCGTTCCCGCTGCTACCTCCAAACGGTAGTCCAAATGACCTTTCATTCTGGCCACGATCTGGTCTTCCAGTTCCGCCATCTCGCGTGGACTAATCCGTGGCGGCGTCCCATGGCGCTGCTGCTTGCCGGGATACATAACGTTAGGGGAGGTGCAACAAGGAGAACTCTCGTGTTCCGACCTGGATAGCTCTCAAACTCAACACGAGGTGGCACCGGGCCGAAACCATCATACCCGTAGCTTTAATTCCCGCTGGCTTCTCGGTATTGAGAATAACTCAAGGCCAGTGAGAGGGGATGAAGCCTGCAGACACTAGTTCAGCAAATTCAACCTCTCGATCCCCCCCGACCAAGCCGTTTGCATGAAGCTGCTTGAGCAGGCGAGACTGCAACCAAATCTGGACCTCAGCACATGCTTTGATGAGAACTGACCTGAAACTCCAGAGATGCTATATCACAGCAGTGAACGCTCAGTACGATCTCTTCGTGATCAGTGAGGTTCGCAATGAGGCTTGAGGAATGAGGTTCGCAACTCTAGTCCGGAAGTGACTCTGGTACCATTGATTTTGTAGCAGCACACGTAACTATCGATGACAACAATACCCAATACCTTATGCGGCGCCGGAAAATGCTCATATCGTTATAGGCATGCCAGAAGATCACGAAGAATGTACTACCCTAACTTCAGAGGAGAGCCGAGGATTGGTATTTTCAGGAGCGTAACAGCTCATGAGCATGCACGTCTACGGCGTAACATACGTTAACTGCTCAGCGCAGTGTTGTAGCTGAAATGCTCCTTCCGAGCACCATCATGGGTGGTGCACGCGTCATCCACTGATTCGAGATGGCCCGTCATGAGACTCGAAGCGATCCGAAACCGTTAGCCATTGAGAGGTTCAGTCCCAGTAGCGCAAAGAATGGGACCGACCCGAATCTTTCGAAGAATGCCCATAGAAGTTATAGGAATACAGGAATGAGCCTTGAAAACCAATGAAATTCTTTCAAGTTAGAAGTTCTGACTAATATTGCGCAGAAGTTCACATGGCGAGCGCTATTTTTCGACTTTTCGATTTCGGAGAACCAGGTTAGACCAACTCGCCAAGCTTGGTGATTTCGGGTCCTAATGAACTCTCGCCAACATGCTCAATCATGGGATACGACCGCTTCTGGACCATATTTCGCCTCTTTGGCGTCGACACCTAACGAATTTCCCCGAGATGTGGCGGAAACTGGTTGAGGTAATCCGTAGTTTCGTTCGCCCAAATGATCTATTCCGTTCTGTGCGCACGGTTACAGCAACTTGGTATTGGTGTAACATGCCAGTGGCTCAGATATTGCTATAAAACTTGGTGAACTTATCGGTATTCGCCAAGTACGTGTCGTAAAACGCCGATATCTTGGTATAATCATTTGTTTATGAAGATTACACCATCTTTGGCGATATCCGCCTTTTATCGATCACGGTTGGTATATTCCCGAGTCGGAGTCGAATATCGCCAGGTGATTTGTTCAAATCTGGTTTTGTGACAGGCTTTCGCCACAACTTTGTGATGATTCCTGTCCGGCGAGAGTTTTATCAAGGCCGCATACCGCCAAGTTGGATTCAACCGCACACTTCCCCCTTGGTTCTGCTCTTCGTTGTCTGTTCTCAGTGACTTTCGATGTCTTTGTACTCTGAGTTCAAATGATTATCATGTCTTG